ATGGATGTAAATTGAAGTCAAAGTGTATATGCGAAGATGAACGGTTCGGTTGATTGATGTCGTCACCGCGGTTTGTCTCATGGAATCCCGCGAGTTGCCTGTTTTGGATGCCGGTCAAACCTTTTTTTACGCTCATGCCGTCCCTCTCCCCTAGAAAAACCCACACGCTCCTTACGCCCTCTCCCCTCCCCTCCCCTCCCCCCACACGCTCCGAAACCCCGACCCCCAGGTCCGGCTCTGGGACCTTCCGGCGTCTAAATGCCGCATGGCCCTTCGCGGGCACGTTGACTCGGTCAACGAGGTGGCCTGGCTGCCCTTCACGTCCTCCCTCGCCACCGCCTCCTCCGACAAAACCGTATCCATTTGGGACGCACGCGCTGGGCTTTGCACACAGGTGTGTATGTGTGTCCGTCTGTCTGTCCGTCGGTCGGTCGGTCTAAACCCTACATAAACTGAGCCGTGCGTGTGTGTCTGTATGTATGTGTGGAGAGGGAAATGTTGGGGTAGTGGGGGAGGGAGAGATGGATTTGGGCTATGGGTGTATTTTATTTACCAAGGGCCCCGGTTTACCGCCCGTTTCACTCCTCTCCTCTCTGTTTTATCTCCTTCCAGGTCTTGAAGTACGCTTTGGCCTACACACCTTCCTGCCGACCTGGCACATGAACACACGGAGATAGTTACCTTAGGGTTTTGGCTGCTTCCTTTGTTCCGAACCAGCGACCCGCGACCCTGCTTTCCCTCTGCTTTCCAGTCCCGGCTCTGTTGTCCAAGAAATGTCTCTCATCCGCTTCATACCGACTTCACAATATGACCTTTCCGCGGCCCCATTTACTTCAAATCCAACTTTGGCGGCCTCCCCCCCCTGCCCCGCCCCGCCCCGCTCGCCCACGCCGTACTCCGTACTCATTAAAGACGTACTACGGCCACCAGAACAGTTGTAACGCGATTACATTTAACGTACTGGGTACGACGCTTGCCTCCACGGATGCTGACGGAGTGGTGAAGCTGTGGGATACGAGAATGACGGCGGAGATCCGTACAATCAACACGGGTACGGCAGTGTGTACGAACGCATTCACGGATATCATATACGCGCATATTCGCACAGGGTAGAGCGCACGATCCTACGTGAGGTTGGGGGATATAACATAATTGCGGGCGGATATATAATATGCGGGACTTGGCGTTGTGCTCTTTGCGAAGCTGCAGAGGTTTCAAAACCGACCCGCCCCTGTCGACCCGTCCGCCCGTCGCTGGCGTCAGCTCCCCCCTCTTATGGTGCCCTCTTTGGCCTCTTCCCCCCGCTCTCTCATCCATTTATGGTACCTTCTGCGCTGCTTCCGTCGTACATCTGCTACCCCTGCCGTACAGGTAAACACCCCGCTAACAAGGCCGCGTTCGACCGGTCGGGCCACATCTTGGCGGTGGCTTGCGACGATGGGAAGATCCGGGCATACAGCACATCAGACGGCGTGTTGCAGGTGCGTTTTTGTTGGCGTTGGGTGCAGAGGAGGTCGAGAAGGTTTGGGACCACGTGACTGCTGTGAGTGTTCTTTTTTGTGTGTGGGTTGGGCCGTTTTGGGATTTTCGAGAGCGCTTGCCTTCTGGGTTGGATGGCTAGGGATGGCTAGGGTTTGTGGGGCCCAGCTGTGGGGCCTTTGTTCGGATTTTATGGCTTGTTCGGTTAAAAATATCCGGAGCCCAGTTCTTTTATCCGACATACCGAGTTCCTATGTTCTGTTTCTTTGTCCCGCAAGTCCGCGACTGCATGTACACGTGTCGCCGTGTTCGTAATCTCCACGTAGACGGACTTGTACCTGCGTGGGGTTCCCTTTTCAGTTTTCAGTCGTGAGAATGTCGTATATTGGAGTATGTAGGTGCGCAGTCTTACTTAAGGAGAAGGTGCGAAGCATGAAAATGTATGAATGTATGTATGTATGTATGTATATATGTATGTATGTATGTATGTATGTATGTATAACCGCGCAGGCGGAGCTGACCGGTCACGAGGACGCCGTCCAAGCCGTTATCTTCGACCCTGCCGGCCAATACCTCATGTCTTGCGGCTCCGACAACACCTTCCGAGTCTGGTCTTGAGCAATATTGCAGCGCCTGATTTCTGTGTACACTGTACAGCATTCAGTGCCGTACACTGCACGTGGCGGTCGCGTTCCGGAGCGAATGGGGGCTTGGATCTGCTAATCAGTAGCCAGTCAATTTGACATAACGCCGCATCACCTTGTGCTGCAGCAGCATCTTGTGTTTCTGTCGTGTCGTGTCGTGTCGTGCCGGGGAGGGGTGGACGGTTTGCGACATGTGTACGGATCATTGTATGTGCGGGAGATGAAAGGGGGATGAAAGGGGGAGCTTATCATTGCACCGATTTCGGTGCAAGGATGGAGGAGGGAAGGGCAGTGCAGTGCACAGTTGGAGGTGCGCGACTGGGAAGCAGCCAGCGTATTGGGGAGATGGCGGGTGGCCGCACGTGCGAAGGCGCGCTTGTGCCACTTGGCAGGCATGCGCTGTGAAATACGGACGGTACGGCGGAGAGCCGGAAGAACGGAAATCTTGGTGTGTGAAGTGCCAAGGTGATGTGGGCTTAATTCACCGCTTTGGCCGCAGAGCTGCAGTGCCGTTGCCTTTCTCGACCTTCAGCCTTTCCACGCGCTGCTGTCGGGGGGTTACTGGCGCTTTTTAAGACGGCATGCGTCGGTTTGCATGCGCGCTGGCGTGGTATCTGGCATTGTGCGTGTGTGAGAGATGATGACTATATAATTGTCCTTAAACCTGGCTTTGACTTTGAGCGTTAGTCGTTGCATATCGGGTTCAGAGATACACCGCAGCAGGAAGAGGGGAAAAACGGTAGAAGAGAGGGAAAAGACACTGGGAAGACGTAGGGGAGACAAAGGGAAGGAAAGGGAAGACTTTCCCGACGCAGCCGTGTGTCCTCTGCCTGTCCGTGTATCTGCTTACTTGTCCGTCTTCCTGCGAAGGCAAGAACCGCCTCAATCTTGGGCGACGTCTCCTGTATATCTGTGACGATGGCGCGGCAACGATGACTTGAACCTCACAATGTGCCGGTTAGTAGGGACAGGGAAGCACACGCTGGAGGTTGTGAATATCTCCGCTGCTGTAAGAAGCAACGACTGCGTCCATTCGTAGAAAATTGTCGTTGGGGATAGTTGCTACAGTTGCGCAGTGAACAGGATGCAGCCTGGACTAAAGTCAGCAGACAAGCGGCGATGGCATCGCAGCGATTACTAGTGTCTCGCCCTTGCGTAAGTTTACATTCTAGCCTTCTCGGGCCAAGTTGGACAAGCTGGGTGTCGACAAGCGTTGGACGTCAAGCAGAGCATATAGCTGTCAGTAGTATTTGTACCGCGATCGTAAACATGTAAATTGTGCAAATTAGAGAATAATGAGTATTTATATAATTTTTAAAGGTATTTTCAATTTTTTTTTATAATCACTATGACGGTTATTCCATCCGTTTTTTATAGCATCAATACCATATTCTAGTTCTTTTTCTCCTATAGAAGGTCCAGCTGTTAAGATTAGATCGTATATTTTCATAAGAACTAGAGATAATAAATGTAAATCTATAAAAAAATAAATATAATTTAAGCACTAAAATTATTCCAGAAAAAGTAAAAAGTATTTTTAAAGGCAGTAAGCTGATAAGGATTTCGGTAGTATAAATTATTGAAAAAAATTCTATAAGGAAAAAAATATAAAATGATTAAAATTGCACGTTACGGGTAAGTGGTAAGATATCAGTACTATTAAAGTTTACCGATATTATACTAGCGAAATGCGGGATTATTACGTTGAGGTGTTTGCTGAAGGTCAGAAAATTTATTTCTAATATTAGTGGCTACAGCAACAAGGTCCCGAATGAGAACCTCCGGTTCATGCTTTTTGAAAATCTGATAATAAGAATTACCAGATTTTATATTATTTACTGCGTTAGCTTCATCAATGTTACTTTTCCTTTGTCTCTTTGCTAAGGCATCACGGACATATCTGTTGAATTGTGATTTAATCATCTCTTCCTGCTTTAGAAATTGAGCCTGTTAAAAAATTTATTCAAGGTTTTTGAGCTTTTCCTTAGCAATTAAATAATTACTTAACCTGCTATTTTGGTTTTTGAGAAAAACTTATAAGGTTATTAAGGTAAGGAACTAAGCCAGCAATTAACATTAAAGGTATAAAAGTAGGAATAGATATTTTATGGGAATATTCTGGGTCAATTGCTACGTTGTTTTCATAAAAAAAAAGATTGATATATAGGCCCAATCTTGTTGGATAAACAATTTTAGTTTTATAATAATTACGAAAATGGTTAATAATTCCGCTAAGGCTGGCTATTTGCCTCCGTGCCTGTTCAATATTTTCTTTCCTTCCCTCCTAGTCCACCCCTGCGCCAGATGAGAAGTCCACTTTATACTAACTTTTTTGTATCATATTGTCATCCTCCATTTTAAATTTTGGCGTAAAGTTAAAATAATCAACATTCTAAAATATATACACTTAGAATTTTCTATATTTAACTGTGAAAATGAGCACTTGATCAAAAAGTACTTGAAACAGGTTAATATTGTTTTCCTTGTTTTAGTTGAACTTTAGCTCAAAACATCGCTATCGGCAAAGCCAGAAGTTTATCAGAACCTTGATTAAAATTCTTCTTTCGAATAAATTTTTTAACAGGCTGAATTCATTTTTTTAATGTCATGATATTAATATTATTTCTTTTTGAATAGTCTACTACCATCTTTAGAAACTCTTAGCAAGCCAGTATCTTCAAGAGTTGACAATAAAAAATACTTATATATCTTGGATAAAAAATGCCAGGAGTGCCATAAATAAAGGCTGAGATTATGGATAAAAAATTAGTAGCTTTGGTTGGAAGGCCAAATGTTGGGAAGTCTGATGATATCGGTATCCAGCATAAGATACTATATTCTTGCTGCGATATTAATCCTAGCAATTTTGTTAGCAAAATTGGTTGGTTCGTCTAGAATCAAAAAATGAAAGCTTCTATCCTTTCTTGGTACGAGTATGGTATTTTTACTGGAGTAGGTTTCATAATCATTGCTGCTTCTTCCGGGTCATTAATCCTGCAGACAATATTACGGATATAGAATTCACGGCAATTTTTAATATTAATTTCCTTATTCTTTTTGCTATTTAACTATTAATTAATACTACTATTATTTTTTGCTATTTTAATATAATAAAATATATTTTATCAATATCTTCCGGGCATATATCATAAATTTTACCTACACTGCCGGAATGCTGGCATTCCATTAATTTTCTACTTTTATGAATTACCATTGATGCCGAGCATTTGCTAGTTAAAGATATGT